ATTCTTGCCTAGAGGCTTCCAAACTACAAATGGCCATAGAAATGGAACCAAAGACAATTGTGGTAGACTTCTTTTAACAGGATCCACCAGACTGACCTTGTAAAAAGTTCCTAACTACTAAAGTACAATATAACTTCTATGTTGGATTCTGAAATCCCTTGGATATTCTCCTTATCTTCTTTGTGGGAAGTATTTCTTGGTGGAAATACTTGTTGGTTATATTCATAACAACCCTGGTGACCTTATTATTTAACCCATGTATTCTTAACTGTTTCTTTGGCTTTGTCTCCTCCAGACTTAGAGCTGTAAGGCTACCCAATGTGACATTGCCTGACACCTATTGAGGGCCTTTAGATAGAACTTCTGTGGAGTAACTCTGATTGCCGATCACAGGTACAAACCTCTTCAGCCAGAAGTAGCCAGAATGGTCTTCACCCCTTGCCCCCTTATGGCAGTTAGGGTTGCTTCTTCAGAGGGGGAGAATATTGTAGACAGGTAAGTAATTACATATATTGCAGGCAGTCAGATAGAGTTGCCCTCAAGGTGCCAGCCCTCAAGGCCCCAGTCTTCAAGATGCCAGCCCTCTGGGGGAAGGAAGTATTCTCCACTGTTGCAGGGAATGTAAACTAGAATTAATTTGTAAATTAATGTGGCTATTCCTCAAAAAACTAAGCATGGAATTTCAATTGACCCAGCTATCCCCCTTCTAGGTGGCTTCCCAAGTGTTAAAAATCATCGTATTACAGGGATACATTTACATGCATGTTTATAGCAGCACAATTTGTAATAGCTAAGTCTTGGAAACGGCCTATATGTCCATCAACAAATGAACGGCCAAGGAAAATGTGGTATTCACACACAATGAGTACTATCTGTCCATAATGGAAGGTAAACTTGAGGCATTTGTAGGTAAATGGATGCAACTTGAGAACATAATGTTAAGTGAAATAAGTCAGACACACAAACTCAAGTTGCATGATTTCTTGTATACGAGAAACATAAAATATATATAAAATACAAATACAGAGCAAAACAGAAGAGAGGTAAAGTGGACGTAAGGCAGAAGTTAAAATACTTCCCAAAATTACATATTTCATCTTAAGAATATTTTATGTATGCTTATATATAGTATCACTTTATCTTAGATTGTTGAAGAGAAAGTTTCGTATTATGTTTCTTTTTTGTAAGAATCTTTTTTGTGTATATTTATAGTCTGATTAGCTACTTTGAAGATGATACAGTGTATCAATTATTGTCCTTTTATTATGAAATTTTGTTTTTCACAAAATTATAAAGAAACCACCCTATAATGTTGACAGTTTACAATCTTGTTGGACTATATTACTAGCTGTCCAGGGCTGCATATGTCCCATGGGCCACAGATTGGACATACCTGCTCTAGAATTTATCTTTAGTACAGAATTTTACTTTGTTGTGAAAGTTTAATTGACACAAAAAATGATTATTTAGTTTCTGAAATCCTTTTATGTAATTCATTCAAGATTCACTCAGACTTAGTTGCTCTTCTGTAGGGGCACAAAACTTCTAAATGAGAGCTATTCTCTCTAATTTTTATCATAATTCTTTTATCCTCTTATCTACCTAAATTTACCATTTTTTTAGCTAAATATTTAAAAAATAATAAGATTTTATACATATCTTTTTGTAGACAATCAAATTCTGTGGCACATAAGTGAACTACTTCATTTATGGACGCAAAATTCAGTTTTCAGTCTGTTGTGGCTAACATGCATATAAGTGCTTCCTCTGACTATTTCTACCCACTGCTTTATGTATCTGGGAGAGCCTTACTTAATGGTATCTGCTTTCATTCTAAATACAAATTCATTTGAGTCATAAAAATGACTCATTAGAATCTTTGTAATGACACATTCTATTAAATTTTAAGTGAGCTATATACTTTTAAACTAAATGCCTATAATATACAGAAAGCTTATCCAGATTTGTTTATATTCTTGGATGTGGTAAAACTGTAGCCATTAGAACATTAATGCTTCTAACAAATATCAGTGTTTATTCTTAGTTCAAACTGTCACTGTTATTTTTCAATGTGTGTGGTTTATTTTTTATGCCTACTTGTTCCATATACTTTTTATTTTTTTGATCAGTTTATGAAAACAGTTTCAAAACAAAAATAATTGCTTAATTTTTGTGACAAAATCACCAAATATGCCAGCTCCTTGTTTTGTCTTCATTCCCTCTGCTTTTTATTTCTTCATTTTTTCCATTTTTCTGTGTTGAAAGAAATTTTTAAAGTTACATTTTTCTTTATCAGTATCATTTTTAGGTGCTCCTTTAAAGAGAAAAATTGCTTTGGATTAACCTTCCCTGCCCCCACAACTAGCATAACTTTTCCTGACTACACTGCAAAGACCTTGTTTCCAAAAAAGGTCATATTCTTAGGTTCCAGGTAGACATTAATTTTGAGGTGACACTCTTCAATCTAGCACAGTCCAAGTAGGGCAAATCTTTCTGTGTTGTTCTTCAGCATTATTTTAGCTGTGCTTGGCCCCTTACTTTTCCATATATATTTTAGAGTTTGCTTGACAAGTTTGGTGGAATGCTGTTGGTGTATTGCTTGAAACGGCATTGAGTTTATATGTTCACTATATTTATTGTATTGAATCTTTCTATCCAGGAATATGATGTAACCTGACTTTTTAACTGTCCCTCAATATAATTTTGTAGTTTTCTTTTAAAATGTTTTACATTTAATTGCTGTCATAAATAATATATTTAAAGATTACATTTTTAAGCTCTCACTGATGTATAAGTATGCAGTTGTTTATTTAATATCCAGAAACTGCTCTGAACTCTGAGATATCTGTGGATTACAGAAAGTTGAGTTAATGAGATGTTGGATGATAAATGTCTTAAAGCTAGGCAATTATCACTTGATTATTTCTACACTGTTATAATTGAATAAAATATAAAGATACATAATTTATAGATGTTTAAAAGATAAAAGTAGAAAGATAGCTTAGAAAGTTGGGCCTGGAGATATAATAGTCTTGCTTTTTCTTAATTTGGACAGCTGAAATCCCAAAATAAGTTCCAGAAAAAGAAGACATTTAATTAAAAATAAAAAGCCATGTATTGAATTAAAAAGTTGGTGATCAAACTCATTTGTATCCGCATTAGCAAACTGAGTTTATCATATATGTATTCCCATCTTGGCATTGTAAAGTAGGATTAGAGTAGAGTGGTCATTTCTGGGTCAGTCCTGTAGTCAAGGCTGGAGCTTCTAGAGATCACATGGGTCCTGGAGTTCCAATAGGTCCTTTTCTATATGATCAGCATACAATAGACTTAGAGATCTACCTTCTTAGAATTGTTTTTGCTGGTAACAGAAGATGTTAGTATTCCATGGAAGGCTAGAACTATGTTTCTTCTTCCCTCCCTCCCTCCTTTCTTCCTTCCTTTTTTTGTGATGTAATTGAAACCAGAGCCTTGTGCATCATTTCTTTAAGAAGATATTTCTTGTTCTTTTGTTTGTTTGTTTGTTTTTTGAGACAGGGTCTCACTATGTCTTTGAGACTGACCTGGAACTCACTATGTAGCCCAGGCTGGTCTCAAACTCACAGCGATCCTCCTGCCTCAGCCTCCCGAGTGCTGGGATTACAGGTGTGTGCCACCACGCCCGGCTAAGAAGATATTTCTTTAAGCACATGTTTTACGAATTATTTTACTTTGTATCCTATTAGAAATGTTTCATGAGGACAGAGATTTTTGTCTATTTTGTTCACTGATGTATCTATAATACTTAAAATAATGGAAATGCTTAGCAAATTGTTATTTTGAATGTATAAATATACAGGTGAAAAGAGCAGTATTGGTACTAAAACATTTTATATCATTGTATTAAAAAAGTGCTGCAGGTCTCTTGAAAAAAATTTTTTAGTCTTTTATAGCTTTGTTGTTATAAGTTTGTTATTAGTTTATATTCTTTTTTCTCCTTGGAAGTAGCATTTGATGGAAGTACACTTGGACAGTTTGTGAGGGTAGAGCCAAAAATACTGAGGAAATTGAATAAAGGCTTGGTACACATAAATGTCCATGAATAATATATTTTCACTTTTCCTTCTCACAAGTTCAGTTGCAGGCCTCTCTGTAGCAAGTGAGTGTGAGCTGCATAATTCCAGTATAGCTGCTTAATTAGGATGGCCCTGTGTGAACCTTTGGAATCTGGGGCATGTGATGTGTTAAATTGTTTTTGCTGAAGTGTCAAGAATGCATTTATATAACAATTGATTCTTGCCAGCCACACATTAACAAGACTATTCTTTATTTTAGATTTAAATATATAGGAGATCTGATCTGTTCAAGCATACATATTGAATTTCTAGTTTTTGAATGTACTGTAAATCAAAGGGAAACCTTTTCAAGAAAGACAGGTCTTTACACATTACTTATGAATAACTTGCCTCAGATCTTGGATTATTAGTTGAGGATCTGCTTCAGTTCTCTTGTTGATGTAGAACTTATAAAGGACTTTTTTATATGGGTTTAATATAAATTCTGGATAGATGATTTCTTTAAATACTGGGGGGATTATTAGATTTTATTATTAGATTTTTTATTAGATTATTAGAATTTAAATAATTCTCTTCTGCCATTTCTCAGTAGTATTTTTAGAGAGTGTTTGTCTTGTCATTTTGCTGGCCAATGATTGGGTTTTTTATTTGTAACTAAAACGGACATTTTAAGGTCTATTGTCACGTTTTCCATATATAACTAATATCCTTCTTTGAATGTTTTTTATCTCTTTATATCAATTAAGAGTTTTTGCTAATGTTATTATTTTGATGGAATACAGTAGGATGTTTTTTCTTTCATTAGTATATGTTTATGATTCATAATAATCATATTTATCTATATATATATATATCTTAGTAAGGAAGCTTAAAAGACTGAACACCTGATTTTTTTAAATTTTAAGAAAATTATGAATGACATGTTTCTTATTTTTTATATTACAGGCAGCATATCTCCATATTCTCTGTTACAGCTTTGGAGTAGAAACTTACAAGCAGAATAAATATGAAGAAAGTTCTTTCTGGCTAAGGTAATATAAACAAAAAATGAATGCAAATTTAAGGATGTAATAAAAGGGATCAGTTAATATTTACCATAGGATACTTTGGCATTTTAAACCTCTGACATCAAAAGCCAACATACTAAATTTATTTACCTCTTTACTGTGTATTATTATTCTTATGTGTTGTAAGTTGGTAGAAAAATATATTCTTTTCTGAATCCATCATATCAACAGTATTTCCCCCCCTATTCCTCCTTTGTATCTCCATCACAAGTATGAAAAATTTTATTGTTGTTGATTTGGTACTTATTGTTGTCTCATAACCTCAGAGTATAAAGTTGAGGAGTAGGATTAGCTAAAATTACTAACCTTATTTGAGTTTTAGTATTTTAGCATCTGTAAGTAAGTATAAATTTAGCACTTACCATATGCTGAGTATTATTCTAAGATTTGTACTGTTGCAGTGATTCTGGAAATATCAAGAGAATAACACAAAAATGTAGTGACTACATCTAAGAACCCTATCTTTCACTGAAGACCTAGGCCCAGCACAGATTCTAATACTTGGTAGTATCTCAACAATGAAATTTAAATGAATGTATGTTAAAAATGTGCTTTTCAGGATTTGTCACATAAGGTAGCTTGAATATCAAAGATTATGGAGTAAAATATATCCAGCCAGTTCAGTAGATGCTATGTTTGCCCTTTCTGAGTTAAGGATAAATTCTAGTTATTTGTAGATACTCTCATGATTATTTTAACTAGAGTCTAACTATTGTAAAAATTACATTTATCATTTAAAGAAATAAATACAACTATGGTCATTGTGATTATTGTATTCACAAAAGTATATATCTCTAACAAAATATTTATGTAAATAACTTGGTTATGTAACAGACTTTTAGAACCCCAAATTTGATCAAACTGTTTAAAGAACTATACCTAATAGAACAGGTTTATGCAGTTTTAAGATACAAACTTATCTCAACTTAGACTGCTTCATATAATTGAAATATACCTGACACTTGTATTATAAATTATATTTTTATAAATTAAGTTAAGAAAAAAGTATTAAGGTGTATTATGTATATTTACCAACTCCCCACGATGAATATAATCATTATGTTCTGCAAACACACTAACAAAAATTTAAAAAAACATTTACCAAAGCAATTAACTAATATGCCACAGTCTTTAGCACAGGTTCTCTTTTAATGAACAACCTTGCATAAAATGCATGATGATTGAGTTCTGGTCCAGGATTTGGCAGTACTGAGGAGTAGAGCATCCACAAAATTTATGGCATCAATCTAACAAAAGAATGATATGCCTAAAAGGTAGGATGGAAAGGTAAAAAAAAAATATTGATGACTTGGATGGCTGCTAGAAACTTAAGGCTGGTGGTGAGATTGAAGTTTATGCCAAGAATAAGGGTGAACTAGGAGTCATAAGAATAAATGTTCTCAAGTCTGGGATTTAGCTCAGTGTTTCCGCTGCCTGCCTTGAAAGTGGAAGGTCCTGTGTTTTTATCCCCGGTATCCGCTGGCCCCCCATAAAAAGTCCTCAAGGAGCTGGTTATAAGAATAGGCTGTGGCTTCAAGTGGCATGACATATAAGTTATTTTCATATATACCATGGGCTGTTTACTTCTTATCTATTATTATCATTTTTGAAAAAAACTTTATAGCAGGAGAATGTGATGATGTGGGTCATAACTGGCATCCACATCACAAACTAATTGTGTTTGTTTCAGCAGCACATACATATCATAAATTATGTCAGATTTGTACTGAATTTGATGTTCATTTTGTAGGAATTTCATAAAACTATGTAATAGCAAATTTATAGAGCACCACTGTATTATGAGTCTTTTGGGGTTTTCATCACTCGATATTGGAGAAAACAGGAAGAACTTGAACTCTAGTCTAAGTTATTATGTATAATTTTTTCTCTCTGCCTGATTATTTTTCCACAGTTTGTGATGGTATAACAGTAACTTGGTGAAATATTTTCACATCTCTAATTTTTAAAAGGAGGCAAAAATAATTATTAATATTATCAACAATAGGAATTTTAGCACATTGCATAGTTTTTTTGGTAGTAGACCAACTTTCAGGAAAAGTTTATTGTCATGTATGATATTAGTACAAAAAATTTTAATATTATGCTACTTACTTTTTAGAATTAATCTGTTTTATTTATTTATTTATTTATTTACTTACTTACTTATTTATTTTTTGGTACCAGGGATCGAACTCAGGTCCTTGCGCTTGCAAGGCAGGTTGTAGAATCACTGAGCTAAATCCCCGGCCCTATTCTAGGTTTTAAATGTGATGATGCATGCATTATAGCATATAATATGCCTGAGAAATAGAAACTATTCAATAAATGGTAGCTCCTGGTACTGCTCTCCTGAGTTGATATGTTTGCTATTTACTACAAATGAATGCTGCTATGGCCATTCCTAGTTTATTTTAAAATGTATCATTGTAAAATAAAGCACAGATTACTTGTTGATTTCACTGGTAAAATGTCATAAACATTCACATCTTCTATCATATAATGTCAATCTTTGGAACTTGTTTTCTTCGTATTTAGTTATATCTGTATATTAAGAAAACTTTTGGGAACAGTTATTGACACAAACAGAAGTCAATAACTGCCAATTAAGTACCTTTCTCTGTAAATTTTATGCCAGATAAAGGCTCTAGAAAAGGAATGTACTTTACAGCTTAACTCATTTGAGAACAGTGAACGAACAGTCAATAGTGAATATAATTTGGAAATACCCATTCAGTCTAAAAGTGAAAGCTTCATTTCTATGAGAAATTCTTACTCTGATTAAATTAGTGCCCATTGATCAACCTTTCTCTATCCTTTCCCACTATTGTCTCTAGTCTTTGATAACCACTGTTCCACTCTCAATTTTTATGTGATAAAATTTTAAAGATTTCATATGTGAGAGAAAGCATGTAAAAGTTGTTCTGTGCCAGGCTTAGTCACTTAATAATGTTCTCTGGTTTCATCAGTGTTGCCATAAATGACAGAATTTCATTGCTTTTTATGGCTGAATGGTATTTCAGTGTGCAAATATTATCACATTTTCTTTATCTGTTCATCAGCTGATGGACACTTAGGTTGTTTCCACGTCTTGTTTGCTGTGAATAGTGTTGTAATAAACTTGGGAATGCGAATGACTCTTTGACACACTGATTTCATTTCTTGAGGATATTTACCCAGTATCTGGATGCTGGATCATATGGTAGATGTATTTTTAATTTTTTGAGGTCCATTTACATTCCTACCAATGACGTGAAATGGTTCCCTTTTTTCCACATCCTTGCCAGCCCTTGTTATCCTTTTTTTAAAATAATGGTCATTCTTCTTAGAGTGAGGTCATACCTCATGGGGTTTTGATTTGCATTTCTATGATGATTAATGATGCTGAGCATTTTTCATTTACTCTGGGTATCTGTATGTCTACTTAGAGAAATGTCTATTTAGGTCTATTGCCCATTTCCAAGAGTTATTTGTTTTTTGCTATTGAGATTTTTGAGTTCCTTATATATTGCAAATATCAATCTCTTGTCAGGTATATATTTTGCAAATATTTTGCTCCGTTCTGAAGGTTGTCTCTTTACTATGATGTTTATTTTTTAAATTGTGCATAAGCTTTTTTAGTTAAATATCATTTCATCTGTTTTCACTTTGTCTCCTGTACTTTTGTGGTCTTTTAAAAAATAATCCTTGCCCATGCTGGGCGTGGGAGCACAAGCCTGTAATTCCAGCACCTGGGAGGCTGAGCCAGGAGGACCACCATGAGTTTGAGGTCAGCCTGGGATACATAGTGAGTTTGAAGTGCAACCCTGTCTCAAAAAAAAAAAAAAAAAAAAAAAAAACAAAAAAAAAAAAAAAAAAAAAAAAAAAAAAAAACAACTAAAAAAACTAAAAAAAAAAACAGAAAGAAAAGAAAATCTTTCCTCGTACTAATGTCCTGAAACATTTCCCTTATGCTTTCTTCTAGTAGTTTCATATCTTACACTCAAGTCTTCATTTGGAGTTGATTCCTTTTAACTGGCAAGAGATAGGAATCCATATTCATTCTTTTTTATGTGGCTACCTAATTTTCCAGCACCTTTTATTGAAAAGACTGTCCTTTCTCCAATGCATATTCTTACTATCTTTTTCTAAGATCACTTGACTGAAGATGTTGGGTTTACTGTTGATTCTCTACTCTGTTCCATTGGTCTTTGTGTCTATTTTATTCCAACACCATAATGATTTGAGCTTCGCATTATATTTTGAAGCCAGATAATGTAATACCCCCTGTTTTGTTCTTTTTACTCAAGATTGCTTTGGGTATTTAGGTTTTTTCATGATTCCATACAAATGTTAGGATTTTTTTCTAGTTCTGTAGAGAATGTCATTAGCATTTTGATAGGGATTGCGTTGAACCTGTAGATTGCTTTGGTTTGTATGTAAATTTTATTAATATTGAGTCATCCATTCTGTAAACAAGGGAGTCCTTCCATTTTTTTGTCCTCTTCAATTTCTTGCATGATTGATCTAAAGTTTTCATTAAAGAGCTTTTTTACCTCTTGGTTAAATTTATTCCTAGGTATTATTTTGTAATGACTATAAGTGACATTGCTTTCTGGATTTCTACTTCAGATAATTTGCTATTGACATGTAACAGTGCTGCCTGCAATTTTGTTGACTTTGTTTATTCTAATAATTTTGGTGCTATTTTTGGGCTTGTCCATATATATGATCATGTCCACTGCAAGCAATGACATATTGAATTCCTCTTTTTAAATTTAGATGCCCTTATTTCTTGCTTGATTGTTCTGGCTAGGGCATCCAATACTATTTTAAATAAAAGTGGTGAAAATGGGGCCAGGGTTATACCTCAGTGGTACTGTACCTGCCTGGTAAGTGCACGGTCCTAAGTTTGATCCCTGATACCAAAAAGCAAAACAAAACAAAACAAAAGTGGTGGAAGTGGTCATGTTTGTCTTGTTGCAGAT